CAGAAAACAAAACAACCTACATGAAAATTACTTAAGTTATTCTGTGCCTCCTTATGAGTATTGTTAGCCATGGAGAAGTCCTTGTTAGCCAGGAATTCCCTAATATTGGGGGAAACTATTAAGCACTGAGCTATTCAGGAAGTAAACTAACTAAATCTACCTCAAGCATGGCTGCCATCTTGTGGGGACTGGATATAATGTAGTGAGGGGCCAATCTCAATAATGTGCCCCATTTAGATAGTCAACCTTTGATTCCATCAACCAATTGTTTTACATTTATTAATATTCCTTGTGAAATGCCACATCACCTTCACACAGAGGAAATGAGGCAACTAAAAGAGATCCACCAATCTATATAATTGAGGCACTGTTTCTCAAATTTCAATGTCATGGCTCCTGTGTGGAGAGTCAAAAAAATTTGAAATTCAGTTTTCACACAATTTTTATAGTAAATGAATTTGATGAAACACTGTTGCTTATCAATTTATCCAGTTGGATAAATCTGAGGTTTACTTAAGATTTAGAAAAATCCATGTTTCCTAAGACTAAGTCTTCCAACAAATATAATATTAACGTAGGAAATCAATTTCTCTTATTTTTTTTTGAAAAAGAAGGTAGTGAGTAAAAGCTCCTGAACTTGTTTTCAGTTGTGAAATTCTGTGATCTACTAAGCACAAATTTTCCCTTTCAGTCTTTTAAGCAATAATAATTTATATTTTTTATTTTTCACAAATGCATTTTTTAGTTATAACTTACCATTTACTACAACCACACATCTATAGATGTTCAGTCATTGCTTCTTTATAATTTTTTCTTCTATGCTTGAGGTATAGTTCTACTGTTCTGGGAAAACTTTCTGCTAATAGCTACATTTATAATGTTGAGAATAGAATTTTAGAAAAATGAGAAATAATATATTTGTGTTTTCTGCTATATTATTTTGAAAGCTGATTTTTTTTTTACTTTATGTTTCAAGTAAGTGCTCACAAATGTATAGGTTTTCGGTTTTTTTGGTCCTGGGGTTCGAACTCAGAACCTTGCACCTACCAAGCAGGTGCTTATGCCGTTGATCTATCTGCCTGCTGAGCTATCTCTCTGGCTACAATGTATAGATTTTTATACTTAAAAAAACTCTTCAGTTATTGCAATATTATTGAGATTTTAAAAACTGGCTTATGTTGGTTAACTTACTACTGTTATAACACTGAGTAGCTGTTATTTAAAATGTAAGCATTGGTGTTCCTATTTTTTACATGAGAATAAAAGAATGATATATTCCAGTGATTTATATTATTTTGCTTTCTTTCCACAATTATGTGCCATTCAATGTACTTGTACTTACACTCATTCTTCCAATGCAAATCCTCTGAAATTGTTTCCTCATGAAAAATACCTCCTACAATTTACATGTTAAAAGTATTTAAATTATCAACAATGTCTGCCAATTTTTAATGTTCATATTGCAAGTAATTCCTCAATGAAGCACAAGTCTCTACTTCAGAAAATAAATTCATCAATCACAGCCTGGTTCTGGGATATTTTTCTACCAAAGAGTTATGAAGAATCATTTAATAGAAACTTCAGTGGATATATGATATTTTTACAAGGTTTGAATTTCAGCACAGTGGACAGATGCATCAACTCTTCTTGTATGATAATACTTAAGTTAAAACAAAGTATCCTGAATGAGACAACAGACAGCCTTTGTAAAAAGTCACTTTTAAAACATAACCAGTGTGTTTGTTATTTTCTTTCCTCATCCAGAAGTTAATATCTAACTTATACAATATAAATATTTGTTCCGAGATAACCTAATATCACATTAAGGCATGTGTGATTTTCTAAATTAATAGAAAATAATTAATACATTATTAAATTTTTGGTTAAACTTTGATGCCTTGCAATAACATGAATCAGGGCACAGCTGGTATAGAAATTTAGACAGTGAAATGATTGATAGTTGTTCTTACACTGAAAATCATTGAATATTAACATTAATTTTTGCACTTTCTTCTTTTTTGGAAAATTTCAATTCACCATTCAACTTTATCTTCTAATTGCTGAGAAGTACCATGATAACCCCTAGAGATTTTATGGTGTGTTATGCAGATTCTTCAAATGTTTGTGTATTAAAACATCAATTCTAAGCTAGGGCTGCATATCAGAGTCACCCACAGAGGTTTCGGAATACAGAATAAGTCAGGCTCCATGCACAGAGATGCTGATTAAATTTATCCTAAGTGATGCAGCCGAAATGCTTCCCAAGCTATTCCAAAGTGAACTTATATTGAAAATCATTAAATTGGAAGATTTATGAATAATCAAAATGTCTTATTAGTTCATGAATGCAGAGTGCCTAGAGAAATGACATGAATATGACCCTATTTAGGCGTCGCCCATGAATAACATCTACTAATTGACCCAGCTATTGTTTTCAGGTTCTAACTAGCTCTCTGACTTTCAGATATAGGCTCTTCCTATGTTAAGTGATTAGTTCAGAATTTTTCTTCATAGAATACATAGCGATTTATCAACTTCTACAGTGCTCATGTGAATGACAAAAAGCACAGTGTGGAAGACCCATACATATTCTTATTATCTAAATCAACAGAGTGCAATTCATGAAAGTGCATTAGAACTCTTTATTAAACCATAAAATGGCATCAGTAACAACACAAATATGATCAATATTGTGTCCATGTGTACTGCTGAGGGCAAAGTATAAAAGAATGGTCCAAGTTGCCCGGAAAAACAGAATCAGTGGTGGCTTTGGGGCAGCAGTGTTTTAAGATTCAGAAGGAAGTGAAATTCTAGTCCATGAAGGGACAACGCTGTACTAAATGCAGTGTGGAAACCTGTGGGCCATCCTTTCCATCAATTGCAGGTCTAATTCTGAAGTAGTGCTGGTTGACTTCACTACCAAGCTGGAGTTAGTACTGTGCTGCAGACTGAAATTTGTAAACATTATCAAGCGTCCAGCTGAAGTCAGGCATTGACAATCCCACCATTGTTGTAACTGTAATTGTAGTCCTAAAATTAAATTCATCCTAAGTGATGCAGCTGAAATGCTTCCCAAGCTATTCCAAAGTGAACTTATATTAAAAATCATTAAATTGGAAGATTTATGAATAATCAAAATGTCTTATTAGTTCATGAATGCAGAGTGCCTAGAGAAATGACATGAATTCTCTGTGCTATGACGGACAGAGAATGGTGGGATTTATTCCACAGGAAAGGAAGGGCCTGCATATGGTGGGCAAAAGCAAACTGCATTCACCCTTGAAGTGGTGAAAGAGAATGCCCAGGTGGAGAAATTTACGTCTTCCAAGAGCTGTAAGCACAGGAAACAATAGGATATCACCAGATTTTCTGGAATATTCAGGAAAAAAATGAAGAAGAGAATTGAAAGTATTTTGCAGAGTTAGCATGTATAATTGTATTTGCAGAAATAATGACCCAGTTCACTGGATTCAGAGAGAAAGTGGCAACCAAGAGAAGGAAGGAAAGACATTTGCACGCCTCCAGGAGGGGGCTGCCAAAGGGTGTGACATCCACACATTCAAAATAACTTCCCAAAGGACTACAATTACAATTACAACAATGGTGGGATTGTCAATGCCTGACTTCAGCTGGACGCTTGACAGTGTTTACAAATTTCAGTCTGCAGCACACTCAAATTCCTAAGTTCATTAGAAGAAATGAAGATCCAGTCACCAAGAATTCACATTAAAGAATTAGCCTGCAGAGTCCTTTCCAGGGGGTTGTGCGGCTGTCATTGAGTACATTTTCAGCTCTTCCCCTTCGCTACGAGTTCATCATCATGGGTTATAAAGACATTCTCTTCAATATTTTGCCCAAGTGATCCACCGAAGAATTGTTTTTTATTTATTCTTTTCAAATTTCAAGATCTTCTTTATTCTGAGAGAGGGTTTGTACATACAGAAAAGGGTATCAGGATTCTTTCTGTATCCTGGTTGCCTAAAAACCAAATACACTGGGGATGGGGGGAAAATCAGTGTGTAAAGGTAATTAGCACGTTCTTTCCTTTTTATAACTTTATAATTGAAATCTCATTAAAAGCTTTCTAGGTCTCCTTTTCCCTAAGTGATTAGGTGTCCCTAATTTGTTCTCAACCAATGTGGCTAATTCCAGGCAAAGACTAGAAAAAAAGTCTAATACCTGTTGGAGAAGCAAGGTTAAATAAGTGGGGTGACTTTTTTGGGTTGCTTTTAACCTCGTAAAAGGAAGAGCTGGGGGGGGGTGGAGGGCGGGGGGCTCCATCGCCTTTTCTCTTACAGTCCTGCCTTTTTCTCAGTCCCGGCTGAAGATTCCAAGGGAAATGAGACACTATTTTGTTTCTCCCTCGTATTGCAGATAGGGGGAGGAGGCGGTTATTAGAGAGAAGCTCTTCCTCCTCGGTTCCCCTCTCCTCCTGACAGCCCCGCTCTCTCGCGCGCGGGCTCGCTCCTTCTCCTAGGTGATCCATTTCTAGGCAACGTGGGGCCGGCGCCGAGCCGCGGGCTCCTCCTGCTCCGCACCCGCCCGGGAGGGCTCGAGCTCCCGCAGCCCGCGGCGCCGTCCTCCCGGCCTGGCCGCGCCTCCGTCTCCCTCTCCGTCTCCGCCTCGCCGCCCCGCGCCGCCGCGCGCAGGAAGGGGCTGCCTCCGCATTCCCCTCCGCAGCGCCGCCTGAAGTTCACTTTTCCCACCTCGGGAGAGGGTTCCCCGCCTGCCGGGGTCTGGGCTCCCCGCCTCGCCCCGTCTCCGCACTGCACTCGGGCTGTGGCGCCGCGGAGCCGGGTCCTCGGTCGGGCGGAGGGTGCGGGCCGGCGCGGGGGGCGCATCCGGCGCG